AGATAGTAGGAAGGGAAAAATAAAGGGGGGGAAATTGGAGGGGGAGACAAACCATGAGAGACTATGGACTCTGAGAAACAAACTGAGGGTTCTAGAGGGGGGGGTGGGGGATGGGTTAGCCTGGTGATGGGTATTAAAGAGGGCACGTTCTGCATGGAGCGCTGGGTGTTATATGCAAACAATGAATCATACAACAATACATCAAAAACTAATGATGTAATGTATGGTGATTAACATAACAATAAAATAAAATTAAAAAAATAAAGCAAGTTTCTTAATTTCAAAAAAAAAAAAGGTACATTTCACAGACTGCCTCTGAAGACAGAGATAAGCCAAAGAATTCTTCTGAAATAGCTGTGATAAGACTTCTTCCAAATAAGCTCCTTAAGGGGGGGGGTAAGTTTCAGTTAGCACACACCCTCTTTTCACCCTTAGGGCTTCCCCTTTTAGCCTGTCTAAAATGCACATAAAGGGCTAAAACTGGACCTTCATCTCATCATTGTGAAGGAAAAGGAAAAGCCTGGAGACTCACAGAGACCTCAGCCTGACATTGTAAAGTGGTCAAATCAGCATCAACAGGGAACATCTGTTTCAGATTCTTGGTAAGCAAGAAAAAGAGACACTTATGGATTAAGTGACTCATTTCTGTTTGCTCTCCATGAAGTCTAATTCAAGTCTAAATAGTATTTCAAGGTAAGTTTTTATTGGCACATCAGAGAGGATAATTCATGTGTTTATCTGATTAATAACTTACACAGAGTAAAAAATAACAACCTTCTCCCAAAAATTCTCTTTATTTAAAACCAGTAGGAGGACTTGAATATGGAGAATAAAAGAAACAATTCTGAATATTTGAGCTTGAGAAACTGAATGGGTGGAAATGGCACCAACAGGAAAATTTTTTTTAGGTTTTAAGGGCATGTCATAAAAATGCAAATTTTATGTATTGAGTTTTTAAATTCAATGTAAACAATTATTTCGGATGATGGTATTCTCCGGTGTAAAAGTTTTGTTTTCATTTTTAACAGTAATCAATATTTCTTAAAATAATGTAGGTGTATTAATGGGTTTTTTCCCACTGAAACACCTACACAGTTTTCCACAAATACTTGGCAATAAAAATTAACTATTTTTAATGACAAGAATATTGAAAAATACTTGAAAAACATTTTTCAAAATCTCTCATCTTGGCCACTCAATGAAAGTGATGCATCTCTCTGGATTTTCTCCTTCCCAATGAATAACACTAGCTCTGTTAGCTGAGCAGATGCTATCCTTCCTTACTGAACGTACTGCTTTCAGCCAGGGTTAGCTGGCCAGCAGCTGTGTCAGGAATGTGACGATTTACTGGCTCAGGCTCTCAGGATAATTCTCCTAAGATTTCTCAAAGCACAGAGAATAAAATGAAGAGCTCCCTAAATATCAGGCCCTGCTGCCTTTCTATATCCATGTCTTGCTAGGCTCTCCCTCACTCTCTGCGGTCCAATGTCTCTGTGATGCTTCACTCTCGGAAGCCACACCACACTCATCGCCTTAAGGCCTCTCCCGTGCTGTTGTTGCTGTCTGGGAGGCTCTTGCCCACACTCTTTATCTGACCCGGGACTGTTAACCCTCAAACTCTCAATGTCATTGCCCTGCTCTCAGAAGAGGCTTTCTCAAGGTGGCACCCCATTATAAATTTCATCCTCCCTCACCTGCGGTATTCTCAGCTACAGCGACTTTTAATCTTCTCATTCACACCATTCGTTTGCAATCTGTGGTTTCACGTATACTCTTTGCCATTGTTTCGCCGTATCTGTTAGTTGGGTTTTTTTTTTTTTTAATCTGGAGAGCCTAACAACCTCAGGATGAAAATGTTCATAGGTGTTATTCATACAATTATTATTGTTACCTGAATCAAGTGTTTGCCTAGTTCAAGAACACTGATCTACAGCAGTATCTCCCAGCATTTTCAATCTCCTACATATGGAGGTCCAGATAACATAGAAGGGGGAGGTTGGTTTCCTCCCATCATCTGGTCACATATCAGCACACTCCCTCCACGTCCCCCCCACCCCCGAACAAAAATAAATCCCTCAGTTATCAGCTTCATTCTTCTCTATGCAGCCCAAGTAAAAAAAATCATCATTATGTAGTTTCTTTCTATTTTGAGCTCCTTGTATCTGAGGAAGTTGGTCACTAGTTCTATTAAACACTTCCAGGGGCACCTGGATGGCTCAGTCGTTTGGGTGTCTGCCTTTGGCTCAGGTCATGATCTCCAGGTCCTGGGATCAAGCCTCGCATCAGGCTTCCTGCTAAGCAGGGAGTCTGCTTCTCTCTCTCTCTCTCTCTCCCTCCGCCCTTCCCCACCACTCCTCTCTCTCTCTCTCTCTCTCTCTCTCAAATGAGTGGATGAAATCTTAAAAAAAAAAAAACACTTCTATTAAACATTCATTTGTTGAGTCCTTACTTTGTTCAGGACACAAGGTCACGAGACCCTGATGTAAAGGGTACATGGTCTTTAAAGAGTTCATAGTCAATTATAATTGAGTACAGAGAAAATGAACAAACAAAAACTCATTAAGTTCAATTATCTATTGTGAGCTCCATGATGGGTATTATGGGAGGTACCCACAAGCGCCCCCATTCCTGGCATCCTTAGTCAACACCATTATCAGTGGCAGGCTCATGAATCTGGTGTGCATTTTATGTCTGTATATCTCATGTCCCCTCTTACAGAACAGGCCAAAATACAACACTTCATTTCTCTTTCTCCCCAACTGATGTGTTACTTTCCTATCTCAATTGCTCAAGCAAATAACCTAGGCCTTGTCCTTGGTTCCTTTCTTTCCATCTTCTCCCATATCCAATGCCCGAGCTCTGCTTCCAAAAGACATTGCAACTCAATAATCTCTTTCCTTTGCCACTAGTCTAAACCATTTCCTCCTCCCCCAACTTTTGAGCAAACACCATCTTTCCATAGCCTCCTAGATGGAGTCTTACTGCAGGAATAGTGGCCCTTTAAATACAATCCTTAGGTCATATTCACCTACTTTAAATCCCGTAAGATTTTATACTGCAGGTATAACTAAATCTAAGTTCTTACCATGGTCTACAGACCCTAGAGATTCTGTCCCCTTCCTACTCTTCTGACTTCATCTCTAAAGTCTCATCCAGTCTTCCCGCCATGTTGTTCCTCCTTCAGTTCCTTGAATGGCCATCTTCATGCCTATCTAAGGACACTGGCATTTGTTGTTCTTTCTACCTGGAATGTTCTTTCCCCATATGTTTTCATGGCTGGCTCATTCTCATTCAGAGCTGAGCTCAAGTTCATCACCTATTGAGAGAAACCTTCTTCAGGTATTCTCTGTAAGATAGCATCCTTGTGCCAGTCAATCCCTATTGCATTGACCAGTTTTCTCTAATTTGTAACACATACTGCTTTCAAAAATAGTTTTATTTTTGGTTTGTGATAGAACATTTTATTTAAAATTAATTTTAGACTCACATAAAAATTATGAAAATAATACGGAGATTTACCTGTAATAATACCCCTTCCACTAATGTTCACATATTACAAAACCATGATACACTTCTTTTTTTTTTTTTTAAGATTTTATGTATTTATTTGAGAGAGAGACAAACAGAGATAGCGAGAAGAGAGCATGAGTGGGAGGAGAGAAGCAGGCTCCCGCTGAGCAGGGAGCCCGATGCAGGGCTCGATCCCAGGACCCTGGGATCATGACCTGAGCTAAAGGCAGATGCTTAACTGACTGAGCCACCCAGACGCCCCAAAACCATGATACATTTGTTAAAACTCAGAAACTAACCTTAGAATTCAATTCTTAAATAAACTGAAAACTCTATTTGGATTTTACCAGTTTTCCACTAGCATTCTTTTCTGTTCCAGTAATCAATCCAGGATATCATCATATTGCATTATTCATCATGTTTCCTTAGTCCTTTCCAATCTGTGACAGTTTTTGCACTCTTTCATGGCTTTTCATGATTTTGACACTTTCGAAGACTATTTTTCAGGTATTTTGTAGAATTATTCTCACTTTGGATTTATATGAATTTTCTCATGATTATATTGGGGTTATGGCTTTTAGGGAAGAATACCACAAAGGAGAAGTGCATCTTATTGCACGTTATCAGTAGGTACGCAATATCAACATACATTATCACTGGTGATATTAACCTTGGTCACTTGATTAATATAGTGTCTTAGCTTTCTCCACTATGAAATCACTATATTTTCCTTTCTATATACAATACTTATATATAGTATATATTATTTGGAAGCAAGTCACTAAGTACAGCTCACAACCAAAACAAAAGGAATTAGGCTCCACCTTATAGGTGGGATAGTAGTTACAAATATTTGCATTAGTCTTTAAGGCAGGTTTGTCTCCTTTCCTCCACCAACTTATTTCTCTAATCATGCCTTGATATAGTAGGGACTCGTGGATATTTATTTTATTCTTTGGGTCATATCCAGTTTTTTTTTATATGTTGTCTGAGGCACTCCACTAGAATGTGAGTTCCATGAGGGAAGATACCCCATTTGTCTTGTTCATTACCATAACCATAAGGCCTAAAATAATTCCTCGCAAAGGATAAACATTCAATCCATATGAATGAATGAAAGATGAAATACTATCAAACACATTTTCATGATATCTTTCACTCACCATCTTTCATCCCTTAACTGAAAAGAGTGAAGAGGCATGAGGAAACCAATGAATTTTTAACACACTCAATCATCATGTTCAATGGGAGGGAAGAATCCTAAACAGATTTGGCCAATTTAAACCAGAAATTTAGCTTCACTCTAGCAACAGTGGCAGACCAAGACTCTTCCTGAGATCTGTATTATCTCAACACAACCTATCCAGAGAATGGCCCCAACACACCAACACACACAGTTCTGTGATTAACAGTTCATGTATATTACTCATGTTTTCTTACCTTGTGCACAATATCCCATACATCCCTGAGTGGGCTGCAGTAAGTACACAAAAAAATTTCCACAGTTTCTTACAGACACTGGGATTTGAAAAAGGCAGCAGTCTTTTGTAGCACTAAACAAAAACTTCCATGTGGCACAAGCTGTCAGTTGCTTGATCTCTCCAGGTGAAGGCAGTGTCTCTGAATCTCTCAGAGACAGCCAGATGGGCACCTGTGTTCCACAGTGATTCACCTTTTGCAACAGAGAAAATGAAAGTTGAAAATCCAACTTATTTTCACACGATAGGTAAGTCAACTTTGCACTTTCTTCTAAACAACTTTCAAATAATAAACTATCATTTAAAAACTCTAATAACTTGTGCCTGTACTATAAAAGGAATTTTATATAGTTACTAAATTTAAAGAATACTAAATTTAAGGTTGATTGCTCATAATTAATATAACCTCATTCCATTTAAATTTATTCTATGTTACCTTTGTAATGTAAATAAGAGAAATTTAGTACCAGATAACTTACCACCATAGTGATACATTCTAAGATAAGGTAAGTGAATCTGAAGTCATCTTAATTTATTTATTTTTTTTTATTTGAAGTCATCTTAATACAGAGCAAAAAGATCAACTCACCTTGGAGATTTTTTTCTAAAATTACTGGATATAGAATATGTAAGATTACTAGAGGAGAGGTGGGTGAGGGGATGGGGTAACTGGGTAATGGGCATTAAGGAGGGCACTTGATGTAATAAGCACTGAGTGTTATATGCAACTGATGAATCATTAAATTCTACCCCTGAAACGAATAATACACTATAGGTTAACTAAACTGAATTTAAATAATTTTTTAAAAAGAAGTTAATGTATAGTTCAGGAGGCATCAAAAATCAGGGGAGAAGGAAAGGACTGTTCAAAATCTGATGTTGAAATAATTGGTTGGCAATTTGGAAAAGAAAAGCCTCATTTAAAGCCAATTATCAAAATCATTTCCAGATGGAAAATGAAATTAAATAGAAAACTAACCCAGGAAAAATAAGAAGAAACTATATATGATTTAGGAAGGACCCAGGCACTTGCTAAATGCATGACCTCAGGCAAGACACTCAACATCCTTCCCTTTCGTTCTAGATGGATTGTAGTACCCACCTCACTGTCCTGTGGTGAGGTATAAACATAATTAGGTAGATAACATAATTTCTACATAGCAATGACTCAGATTGTTAGCCAGATTATAATGCTCAGTATTATGATTATTTCCATGCTTAAAAGCAATGGAAATCATAAGGGAAAAGATTGATAGTTATTCTTAGATGATAATTTTAAAAAATATAAGGCAAATAAGAGTAAATAAGAATTAAATAAGAAGAAAAGTATTTGTTAATAGCATAGTTAGTATATTATTTATTGTCACATTATTATATTTCTTATTTTATTTTAATGATATAATATTATCCACTTAAGAACTGTAAGATCATAGATGGGTAAAATACACAATCACATAATTCACAGAAGAAATACAGATGCCTAATGAATACATGAGAGTATTCAGTATTAGAAAAGGTATTTTTATCTATTACTCCTGAAATAAGAAATTAGCATTATATTTTTAAAAAACAATTATATAAAATCTTCAAAAAGACATTAATAAAGCTTCACTAATTTTACTTATAAAATAATCTTACTAAATACACTGAAGTATAACAGTGATTTATATACACATTTGCTAATTGCAGAATTACTTATAGCAAAAGCCCAAAGGTGCACACACAGCAAAGGTTTATATAAATATGGTATATACATATGACAGAAAATTATTTTCAAGATTAATATTAAAGAATTTTCAACAGCAGTGGAAAACACTAATGCTGTAACTACCTGAGAAAAGCATGTTATGCAACTGGACATGTAGCATGAACCTTACAGAACAATATAAAAAGACGGAATGATAGCAAAATGTTCATGGTAGTATGACTGTGGGGGTCGATGATGAATGAATGTTATGCTATTAATAGTCCTTTATTTTCTAAGTTTTCTATAATGCACATGAATTACTTTAATCATAAATAAACATTTATTTACACAGACTTGTATTATCCTGTAGAGTAAAAAAAAAAAAAATTCTACCTATTCTCCAGGTGGATCCTCTAAAGCCTTGGCTCAAGTAGGGAATGAGAATGGAGGCAGGGAATTCTCCCTGGGGCACAGACCCAGCGATATCAGTTCACCTTTACATTTGTGTGAGATTCTAGATTCAATTATAACTAGTTCAGCCAAAGAAAAAGAGTACAAATATTTAAGGATGTAGTGAATTTCCTGTAATTTCCTCAAATTTTACTTTTAAATTCTGATTTTTTTAGTTTCTTGCAAACAAAATGCCACAAAAGTGACAAACAAATAAACAAAAAGGGAAAAATAAGACAGCCACAATGTTACAACTTAAATACTCTTAAAATTTGATTATCTTTCCCGAGTTTTTTTTACATTACGTTTAAAAGGGAAAATAATTCCTGCTTCTGCGTAATTCACAAAATGTGGGTAACAATAAGGAGAATGAAGAGCCTTCACATAGAAGGAGCCTTCTATATTTAAGACTTATAAGGACTTGAAGCACTTAGAAAACACAGTATTTTACTGTTTGCAAGTTACTTACGGTAAGTACAGGAGCCCTGGAGATGGGTGGCCTGTGATCCAAACTTGGCTGTTTGGCCAGCTGGGTAACTCTAATAGGGGTGTTTCCGCCTAAGAATCTGTGTTTTCTGTGCTCTCTAATGGAAATGATGATAGACTATATTCTAGAGTTGTTGTAAAAACTGTATCAGATACTGTAGGTAAAAAGCCTTGGTGGACTGCATAAGCATAACATTAACTATTACTATTATTATTAGAACAGGGAATATGGCAATACTCCTTTGTATTAACTCAATCTAGACACAAAAGTAAAATCATATTTCAGAGTGAGAAATAAATTGGTTGTAACAAGATTCAATCCTCATATGAAAAAATACATAAGAAAATGCACATGTAGTTCTTAGTGAGTTGAAATACCTCAACACATTTGGTTGGCATCTCAGCAGGTCTGTCAAAGATGAGAAACCGATACCATCTGGGAGAAAGGGAATGGTCACATATCAGGTCTTGAAAGGGAGAACGCTGGAGGTGCATTGAGTCAAAATGCACACTTCTGTAAGGGCTCTGAAGAAACTGGTGTCCCCCAGGAGCGCACTCCTGAGCTAGGATGGAAACACAGTGTCTTAAGTATGTGTTTTCTTCATTAACATAGATTAGTCCTCAGTTAAAACTGATTCTCCCCCCAAATTAAGCAAATAACCTACAACTGCACTAATGACCATCTGAAATGTTAGTAAGTCAAAGATGACTTGCATTTTCCATAAATGCAATAAACCAATCAATAAACTGTAGAATGTATTTTTGAGGTATTTAAGTTTCAAGAACTGTATTTTCATTTAATTTGGACAAGCAATACTGTTGCTCACTGTTGATTTAGGATTTGCTTATTCTTACCATCTGAAGTCACAGACCCTGCAAAGACTCCTCTTGAGAGTGGCCCTCTAGATCTGACTGCCATTATTGACCCTGCATGATCCATTTCCCTCCCTAGCAGTCACATGCCCCCCAAGTCCCATCTCTGCCAAGTCCTGGAAGGCAACAAAGTAAATTAAGCTTTTTATGCCAATCTAATTTTTGCAAAATGCCCTCCTACTGAAGTTTCCTGCATTCTTTAGTACAAGAAAGAATATAAAGTTTTCAGTTTTCCTCTTCTTTTGAAGAAAAATTTTATTTTTAAGGATTTTAAAGTATTGAAATCCATTTTTATTACCAAGCACAGGAAAAGGAATGGGGTACAGGGGTGCAGTTTTGAAGGAGAAACAAGAAAAGACCTTGGAGAAAGGGAGATTCTGTAGTTTAGGGGGTTTTTTTTGTTTTTTTTTGTTTTTTAGGAAAGCCATTTTCTGACCAGCACTTGGCCTGGAAGATACTTTTTCTGTCAAGTCCACAGAGGCAGAACATAAAGCTCCTCTCCCAGCAAGAAGAGAGAAACATAGGTAGTAACCCTAGAAATATATCCTGGAAATATAACTAGAAATAAAACTCTTGTTTGAAGTTCCTGTACTCTCAAATTATAGGAAGCACAAAGAACTGTCCTTGGATACCATAGTTTCTTGTTGACAGAGTAGGTAGAAAATCTCCTAATATTAGCTATTATGTATGTTGAAAGAAACCACTATAATACAGATAATATCTATAAAATAGAAATGTGAAAGAAAAATTCAATCATTACTAAAGTCCCACACTTTGGGAAAAATTTATCTAACTGAACAAAAACTCTCAAACATTTATTACATAATTTTAAGTTACAGAAGTGTTTTTAAATCAAAATTTCTGAACTTAAGTTAATAAGAGCACAATAAACTAGAGATATTAATTTGTAAGTCAATCTCATAAGTCTAGCTTATAAAAACTGTTACTATAATTTTTTTGCTTTTTGTTATTTGCGGAGATAGCAATTAAACTGTACAAAATGTATTGTTCTTCAAGACAAAAAGTCTCCCCGAAGAATTTTTTGTGGTAAAAAAATTTAGGAATGAGCACAGAAGGTTTCTCCTCCTTCTCTCTTGCTCCACCAGTTTTCAGCTTCCCTAGAAAAATATAATCCAAAAAGCACTATTGACTTTGATCATCTCAAACTGTCAACACTAGATAAATATTTCATAAAATGTGTATGGCTAGAACTCAGGGGATATGCTATCATTTCATTTAATTTTGAAGTAACTCTAAGATCCTATCACTACCCCAGCATTGTACCTGGTTAGAAACTAAGGAAAATATTTAAAGAGAGATTCTAGTGAGGTTTGCATGAATTATTGAAACGTTTTCGCTGATCATCTTTCCTGCAATAGAATTTTGTCTTGGGAAAAAAGTCACTAACTCCACCTTTATTTTGTAGAGTATTTCTCCTTCTTAAATGCTTCTGTAGCGCTCAAATTTCCTCTGACTTTGCACTTTGAATAATTGTTTTCTAATCCAAAGCTAAAGATGTAATAAATGTAGTGGCAGTCACAGCATAATAGTAACAGTGATGTGGAAATGTTGGGGTTTAGAGCAAATGGTCAAAAAAGAATTGAGACGTCTTCAGTGCAAATATGTGGTTTTATTAAAGCATGGTGACGAGACCCGTAGGCAGAAAGGCTGCACTTACGTTGTGCCAGGTGACCAATTATATACTTTTAAGTTGGGAGGGGGTTAGGGAACGTGAAAGTCTGTAAGGAATTTTGGAAGCAAGGTTTTTAGGACCTTGAGGGGGCTAGCTATTGTTAGGAAAAGGTCATTTATTACTGTCTAATAAAACCTTAGTCATAAGACCCTTCAGATGTATTATCAGTGGGCCATATGCTTGGGGATGATTGCTAACATGTATCTTGGGGGTAGAGACAAAGGAAATCTTCAAAGGAATATTTATATGTTAAAGGAGACTTAAAGGATCCTGGAGGTTGGGTTAATATTAATGTAAAGTTGCCTTTTGCCCTTAGCAAAGTATTAACATCGAGGCAGTTAAGTTCCTAGAAGTCACTCTGCCTGTCTCAAGGACTTGTCAGTGGGTTTTAAGTTGTAAGGAAATTTAATTTTTTCTTTTGCCTTTGTTCCCTACATCAAACAATACTAAAGAACTACCTAAGATTTACACAGAAAAATTTAAAAATTTACTTATTTTTTATTTTATTTTATTTTAGAGGAAAATTCTTAATTCATATAATTAATAATAACCCATATTTTGCATTGTTCATTTTTTTTTCCAAAAAATCTACTTGTCTTTTTAAAAATGTTCAAGGTCTCTGTAGAAAATTTTAAAATCTTATTAGCAATGAACAAGCCACACTCTTAAAAACCTCATTACAACCTTAACTCTACAATGCAACATACAGTTAACTAAGTGAGAATTATAAGGATGGTTCTGGCTCCCATTTGGAAAATTGGGGACTTAGCTCCTCAAATACTAAAAGAGCTCTACAATTAGAGCTCACTCATTAGTCAACTTTATGCCATGAATGATGCGCTAAGCTTTCTAGGAAAATACAAATATAACTTTTCCCTCATAACAAAAGTACATATAAAATATACATTAAAATTGACATTTCCATTTATTCTGTCTTTCCTAATAGGATTCAAATAAGTGAGATAGTATATAATAGAATCTGTAATATCTGGATTTCAAATACTTTGGGAGAATGTGCCAAGTTATAAATAATAGCTACATAATGATACAATAAGAAACTGGTTTTCTAGTTTTGTTTGTAGATATAAAATAATCTGTACTAGATTGTTTTCTAGTTTAACACCATAGCCAAGATTCTTTATGATTCATAATTGGTGGACAAACAAATATGTTAGGAAAGTAGATAAATCACTGTACTTTTAAGAGATGAATATGCTTAATGCCTGAAGACAGGTACTTCATAATATTTGAGTTTATAATTATAAAACCTTTGGGATATTGCCCTATGGGAATTTCAAATATTTGTGAATTTTTTTTAATTTGTGTAGCTTCCCTAAGGCTTCTGATATTCAAAATAAGACTATCAGTTCTGCAACAACACAAAAGGCTAAAAAGCAAGGTCAGATAGAGAGTGACTAGATTGCTAAATCTCTTTACTTTGCCCTCCATATATCAAGAGGCAAAAACTGAATGCCTCTTGTAAAGTATACAAATAGATTTAAAGTAAAAGTATGGAAAATATCATACAAACAGCAACCACAAGAAAACAGGATTGGCTATATTAATATCAGACAAAAAAATCTTTAAAAATGTTACTAGAGATAAGGAGGGGCATTTTGTAATGAGGATAGGTTCAGTCCATGAGGAAGATACTCAGTTATGAATACACATACACGCACACACACACACACACACAGAAGGAAAAAATGCCTACTTCAATGGTAATAGTTGGAGACTTCAATACTCCACTTTTTTTTGAAAGATTTTATTTATTTATTTATCCGAGAGAGAGAGAGCAGGGGTGGGGGGGGAAGAACAGAGGGAGAGGGACAAGCAGACTCCACACTGAGCATGGAGCCTGACACAGGGCTCAATCTCACAACCCTGAGATCATGACCAGTAAAAATCAAGAGTCAGATGCTTAACCGACTAAGCCACCCAGATGCCCCACAATACTCCACTGTCAATATGAATAGAAAAATGGGCAGAAGGTCAACAAAGAAATACAGCTAGAACAATACTATAAACCAACTTGACCTAACAGGTATCTATAGAACATGCCTCCCAACAACAGCAAATAAAGTTCTTCTGAACTGCACATGGAACATTCTTCAGGATAGATAATACACTAGACCACAAGATAAACCTCAATCAATTTAAAGAAGATAGAAATCATGCAAAATGTGTTCTTTGACCATAATGGAATGAAATCGTAAGTCAACAGCAGAGATAAATTTAAAGAGCTAAAAAATATGTGGAAATTAAACAACCTAGATAATTGATGGGTCAAAAAGAAATTAGGAAGGAAATGAGAAAATATATTGAAAACATTAAAACAAAGATACAATATACCAAAATTTATGAGATGCTGCCAAATTAGTACTTAGATGGAAATTTATAGATCTATATGCCTACATTAGACAAGAGTAAGATCTCAATGTAGTAAGCTAACTGTAGTAATGTAGTAAGCTAACTTTTCCAGTAAGACACTGGAAAAAGAAGAGCATACTACATCTTAAGGAAGCAGAAGGAAAAAAAGTTTAAAGATTAGAGAGTGTATTAATGAAATTGAGAATAGAAAAACAATGGAGAAAATCAATGAAACAAAAAGCTGGTTCTTTGAAAAAATCAACAGAATTGGCATTATCTCTAACGAGACTGAGAAAAAAAAAAAAGACGACTCAATTGCCAGAATTCGAAATGAAATAGGAGACACCACTACAGATTTATTAAGGAATATTATTACAGGGGCGCCTGGGTGGCGCAGTAGGTTAAGTGTTGGACTCTCAGTTTCGGCTGAGATTGTGATCTCAGGATCGTGAGTTTGAGCCCTGCATGGGGATTCACGGTCAGCATGGCATCTGCTTAAGACTCTCTCTCTTTCCCCCCGCCCTCCATCCTGTGCACTCTGTCTCCCTCTACAATAAATAAATAAATAAATAAATAATTTTTTAAAAAGGAATATTATTGGGGCACCTGGTTGCTTTAGTCGTTTAAGCATCTACCTTCTGCTCAGGTCATGATCTCAGTGTCCTGGGATAAAGTCCCACATTGGGCTCCCTGCTCCGCGGGAAGCCTGCTTCTCTATCTCACTCTGCCTGCAGCTCCCTTTGGCTGTGCTCTCTCTCTCTCTCTCTCTGTCAAATGAATAAATAAAACCTTAAAAAATAAATAAAAAATAAAAAGGAATATTATTACAATAAATTAGGTAAGTTAGAGACTGACAAAGTCCTAAAAAGACACAAAGGACAAAACTGACTCAAGTAGAAATAAGCAATCCAAATAGGTTTATATTATGTGAAAATACTGAGTTAACAAAAAACCACACACCCATAAAGAAAAAGGCCAGATTCAGATGGCATCAATGCTGCATTCTACCAACCACTTAAACAATAATACCAGTTCTTCACAAACACTTACAAATAATATGAAAGGATGGAATACTTCCAGACTCATTCTATGACGCCAGTATTACTCTGATACCATAACCAGAAAAAAGATATCACAAGAAGACTGCAGACCAATATATTTTTGAATATGGATGCAAACATCCTCAGCAAAATATTAGCAACGTGAATCCAGAAATTAGACAAAGAATTATAAACCATGACCAAGTGGAATTTAAACCAGGTGTGTAAGGTTGATTTAACTTCCAAAAGTGAATTGACATAATATACCATTATTGATATAATAAATAAAAATTCACAAGTGCTTTTCAAGAGATCCAGAAAAATCATTTGAAAAAAATCTAACACCATTTTTTGATACATATACCAAACAAACTAGGAATAGAATGGAATTTACTCAACCTGATAAAGAGAATCTACAAAAAAAAAAAAAAAAACAAACCCACAAAACTAACAAACAAAAAAAACCTTCCAGTTTATATCATACATGATGAAGAAAGACTGGGTGCTTTCTCCTAAGATTAGGAATGCCCACTCTCCCTGCTTCTATTCAACGTGACTTCAGATTCTAACTAGGACAACTAGGCAAGTTAAATAAATAAAAGGTATCCAGATTGGAAAAGAAGTAAAACTTTCTCTAGTCACAGATGACATGATCTTTATGTAAAAATTCCTAAGAAATCCACACACAAAAAAGTTACAATGAACAAGTTTAACAAGGTTTCAGGATACAAAATCAAGATACAAAATTTAATTATACTTTTATACATGTGCAATGAATAGACTAAAAATGAAATTTTAAAAATCGATTCCACTTATATAGCTTCAAAAGAACAAAATACTTAGAGATAAATTTAACAAAAGAAGCCCAAACTTACACTCTAAACATCACACAACATTGTTGAAAGAAACTGGAGATCTATATAAATGGAAATACATCCTGTTCATAGATCAGAAGATTTAATGTTGTTGAGATTGCAATTCTCCCCAAATTAACATGAAGATTCATCAAATCCCTATCAGAATACCAAGTGACTCCTTTGTACAAATAGGCAAACTAATTCAAAATGCATATGGAATTTCAAGGGACACAGGATAGTTAAACCAATCTTGAAAAAGAAAAACCTAAATAGGAGAAATCATATTTTCCCATTTCATAATTTACTACAAAGCACCAGCAACCAAAACAGCATAATGCTGATATAAGGATAAACACAGATCAATGAATAAAATTGAGAGTCCAGAAATAAACCCATGTTTCTATCTATGGTTTTCAACTAATTTTCGGCATGGGTGCCAAGGTCATTTAATGGGGAAAGGACAATCTTTTCAACAGATGGTGCTGGGAAAATAGGATAGTCACATGCAAAAGAATAAACTTGGAGCCGTATGCTGTACCATATATAAAAATTAATTCAAAATGTACCAAAGACCAAAATAAAAGAGCAAAAACTATAAAATTCTTAAAAAAAAAAAATGGGGTAAATCATCATGACTTTAGATTTGGCAACAAATTCCAAGATACAACAAAGCGCAAGCAAGAAAGCAAGAAAAGATAGATAAATTGGATTTTATTAAAATTAAAACTTCCATGCTTCAAAAGACATCAAGAAAGTGAAAAGACAACTCACAGAATGGGAAAAAAACTGCCAATCACAGGCGCCTGGGTGGCTCAGTTGGTTAAGCCACTGCCTTCGGCTCAGGTCATGATCCTGGAGTCCCGGGATCGAGTCCCACATCGGGCTCCCTGCTCAGCAGGGAGTCTGCTTCTCCCTCTGACCCTCCCCCTTCTCATGTACTCACTCTCAAATAAATAAATAAAATCTTTAAAAAAAAATTGCAAATCATGTATCTGGTAAGAGAATTGTATCTATAATACATATATCTCTTATAACTCAACAACAAAAATAACTCCTATAACTCAACCCATTTAAAAAAACTGTTAAAATATCTGAGTAGTATTTCTTCAAAGAAGGTATACTAATATCCAATAAACACATGAAAAAAGCTTGCCATCATTAGCCGCCAGGGAAATACAAATCAAACCACAAAGAAATGTCACTTCATACAAATAGGATGGCTAAAATCAAAATCTCAATGTTGACAAGAATGTGGATGAATTAGAACTTTCATACACTTCTGTGGGACGATAGAACAGCACAGCCACTATGGAAAACAATCTGGCTGTTCCTCAAAAGGTTAAACAGAATTATTCCATGATTCAGTAATTCCACTTCTAGTTATATATATGCTTAAGAGAAATGAAATCACGTGTCCACACAAAAACTTATACCAAGGATGTTCAAAGTAGTAGTAATTATAATGGCCCAAAGGTGGAAAAACCCCAGATGTTCATCAACTGATGAATGTACATACAAAATGTGGTAAATACTTAGAATGGAAAACTATTCCACCATAAAAAGAGATGAAGGACTAAATATGGTACAATATGAATGAACCTGGAAAACATGACGCTAGGTAAAAAAAGTCAGTCACAAAAGACAACCTGTTATGTGATTCCATTTATATTAAATATATAGAATAGGCAAATCTATAGAACAGAAAGTAGATCAAAGATGGCTTACAGTTGGAAAGATGAGAGGGTAATGAGGGAATAGGGGATCGAAAGCTAGAGTACAGTATTTCTTTTCAAGGTGATAAAAATGTTCTAAACCTGACGATAGTGGCTGCACATATCTGTGAATATGCTAAAAACCAGACCACTGTATACTGCAATAACTATCGGACACTGTAAATGAGTGACTTGTATGGTATATGAACTATATTTCAATGAAGCTGTTTGAAAAAAATCATATTTTCTTCCTCTCTCCTATCTCTATTAAAGATAAAAAAAGTTAGACCAACTTTACCATGATATGAGCTTAGAACCTGGTAAGGGTTAATATTTGCCTTCAGTAGAGAGATTATACAGCTCTAGAGGCAAGAAGGGATTCTGTGATCTATAGTCAACATTGAAGCAGATTGTCTTTATAAATACTGGTCATTTTTCTGGAATTATTTTATCTAACCAAAACACATGCAATATTTAATGTTATTACATGTATGTTTAACAGTTATTCAGGAAGATCTAGTAAATCTGTAAGCAAACCAAAGAAGGTATAGACTGAGGGACGCCTGGGTGGCGCAGTTGGTTAAGTGTCTGCCTTTGGTTCCAGTCATGATCCCAGGGTCCTGGGAGCAAGTCCTGCTCTTTGCTCAGTGGGGAGCCTGCTTCTCCCCCTGCTTTCAGTTCTCCCTGCTTGTGCTCTGTTTCTGTCTCTGGCAAATAAATAAAATCTTCAAAAAAAAAAAAAAAGGTATTTCAGGAAATAATAAATTGGGTTTTAATATTATTTTAAATATCTTACATGAGAGAGTGCTTGCTCCTCCCCCTCCCTTTTTTACAGAGCACATTTACCTTAGTAAAATAGACTGAGATCAACAAGATGATAAGACAAAATTATACCCTAAGCAATTATAAATGTTGCACGTAATTCTTTTGAAGTTGTACACAGATTTATTTCTGAAAAATATAAGTAAATTTATAAGAATCAGTCACCTTTCACTTAATATTCCTATCTATATAAATACAAAAAACAATCAAGAAGAGCTAATTAATGTTTTAACTCCACTGAACTCTAAACTTTTTCTTTGTCATGGATTAAAGCGGCGGGAGTGACACTATTTTTTTTCCTAGAGATCTTTTACAGCAGCAAGAGGGATTCTAACAGATATACTAAAAAATCATACACAAAACTTAACTTATTGATTTATTGTAGGGATAAAATGTTCGTCAATTATTTATTTCCAGCGGTGGGGTGGGAGTGGCGTAGAAATCGCGCAGTTTGGAACTGAACTCTCTTCGGATAATTCGGATCCACTTTCCGCTAGGATGCCTGGCAGATCCAGCACAAGTTTCTTACAGTAAATTAAAGGGACCTTAAGACCGGGATATCAGGAGGAAACAGAAAAGGGAACAGTAACAGTACTGAGGGTCTTAGAGCGGGAGAAGAGGAGGCAACAACCTCCTGAGCGCAAAGAAAACATGGAGAGCTGAAAGGGTGCAAGCTGACCATTCAGACTGCGGTAAGGGAGGCCGGAGGGCAGTGAGGGACAAAAATCAGATGCCGCCATAATGATGCGCAAAGACGCTCCACGTGCCATCCAGAAGTCAGCCCCCTTCGCCCAAAGGCCGGAGTGTAGTCCCAGCGCTCCCCTCCGCCTGTGCCCTACCTTGCCGACCTTGCCCCGGGGCCAGGAGCAGCAGCGCCAGCGGCCAGAGCCGGCCGAGCATCGCTGCTGCTGCGCGTGGGGACCAAGGTGTCGCAGAGCCTGGGCTGTGGGTGCAGGCAGGATGGGGACACCTCAGCTCTCCTATCACAGGCCTCTTTCAGTCCGTTCCTGCTAAGTCTTCAGGGTCGCTGCGAGTTCTTGCTCTAGGACGCGGCAGTCCTTCCCAGGAATAGCTTTCGCGATGCCGCTGTGCGCCGACGTCTCCCTCCAAGCCCCGCCCACCCGACGGAGGCCACGCCCACTTCCCTCCCGGGAGACCGCGTCCTGCGCCCGGCGGCTGTGGCTCCACCACCTTGGATCTCAACCGCACTCGCACATCCAAGGGGCAAGCTCACGGGGTATATAGCATGGCACCTCGCGTCTCACTGTCTTAACAAATGCTTTAAGAAAACTTGATAATCCTAGAAATTGTTCAGATGTACCTCCAATAAAAGCAGCCTTGCGAGGTTCTGTTGGAACCCTTGATTACACCTCTAGACGGATTCTTAACCTGGTAATTGGGGGTGCTGGTTTGCCTCCAAAGGCACACATGCTTCTCAGAAGTTGCCCCTGTCACCTTAGGCCTCGGTGATGAAGGGAGGAGGGAGTGGAGATTAATGTTGCAACACTGGTAGCTCTTTTCCTCTGCCTCTATGACAGTTTTGAGAAGTGGAAGGGAAGCCATTGAGACTTCCAAACACGCGGGGTTAGCCATCTTGTATTTGCTGGTTATCCCAGTGTTCTTTCAGTTGTCCAATGGTGACCCAGTAACTCAGGATCCTTCCGCACATGGTCACACGACTCCCAAGTTTGCCCCGGGGGATGGTCTTCATTCTGAAGTTATCTTCGTATGTGTGGTTGCCTCTGCAGAAGAAGCAGGTGCCCACCTTAAAAAAAGAAAACAAAACAAACAAAAAACCCCACAACTGTTTCTGCATCATTCTATGTCATTAAATGGAACCTCACTTTCCTAGTTTTTCTTTGGCAGTCTCAGTTCTTGAGTCCCCTTATCCATCACCTGGGACTTTGCCCTCAGAGCTGGTACCTGAGGGGAAAGAAGACACTAGTCAACAGAAGGCAGCCCCAAGGTCCTGGTGGGTTCCAGGATTCAGGCCACAGTTCCACCTATAGATTTGGAGGACTGAGGCATGGATGAGGCATGGTGATAAACACAGGAGATGCCCAAATGCATAAAGAAGTTCTTCTAAAAATAGTTTATAATTGGGCGCCGGGGTGGCTCAGTCCGTAAGTGTCTGCCTTCGGCTCAGGTCATGATCCAGTCCTGCATCGGGCTCCCTGCTCAGTGGGGAGTCTGCTTCTCCCTCTCCCTCTGCCCTACCCACCCACTTGTACTCTCTCACCCACTCACTCTCTCTCAGATAAATAAAATCTTTAAAAAAGTAGTTTATAATTTTTTTATTTGAAAGAGAAATTGGAGGGGTGCCTGGGTGGCTCAGTCGTTGAGCGCCTGCCTTCCGCTCGGGTCATGATCCCAGATTCCTGGGATCGAGCCCAACGACAGGCTCCCTACTCCGCGAGAAGCCTGCTTCTCCCTCTGTCACTCCCCCTGCTTGTGTTCCCTCTCTCACTGTCTCTCTCTGTCAAATAAATAAATAAAATCTTAAAAAAGAGAGAAAGAGAAATAAGAATTAAAAATTAAACCTGTTTCCAGAAGTATAAGTATTAACCCATTTTGGAAAAAAAGTCTTTGCGGTGAACAAAACTTGTGTGTAACCCCCACTTACATGCAAAGAAGGCACCTAATTATATATAGAACAAAAGTGAAAAATACCTTTTGGTGGGGTTGGACAGATGATTTTCATCTTCAGGCCTAATTATGGAAGAACAATTTAAGATGAGCAGGATGAAAACCCAGAGGAAAAAAAAACAGTGAATGCATGCTACCCTTTGTGTAAATATCAATGGCACTGGGAAAATGCAGTAGGTATCACCGAGAGAGAAATAGTATAGAATGTCTGAGGGAAGATGAAATGAAGCCAAGAGTCAGTAAGTACAATGTAACTTGAATGAAGAGAAAAGCCTATCAACAGAAACTTTCAAATGATGATTTTTTTGGGGGAGGGGAAAATGGGACCCAATGTATTTTTGGGGAGGGGGAATAACTCAACACTTGTCAGGTTCATTTGCAAAATGAAGATGAACTTGTCTGGGTAAAACCCCCCAAATTCAGGGGGGCAGGAAGACACAGCAAATTAAGTGCACAAACCTTGGAGTCAGGACACCTGGGCTCTAATCCTAGATCTGCTACCTATTTACTGGCTGTGTAACCTTGGACAGCTCAGCACACTTAACCTCTCTTAACCTCATTTTTCTGCACAATGGGAATGATGATAGTAATACCTACTGCACAGAGTTTAAGAAACAAAAGTATATATATGGGTGGGGATGGGTGCTGAGGAGGAATCTGAAGAGAGAGCACTTAGTGTCTGGTGCAGAGTAACTAAAGTGAATGCATATAATAGTTTACTGTTAATAAAACAAAGGTGCAACACCACATAATTATTCCTTTTCTTATATCTTGTTATTATATAAAGGTGCATAGTTTCTCAGTGTTACCCTGTAACAGTGTACAGTATAATTTGGAGTGAACTTATTGAAAATACATGTTTACATAACATACGAGTTCCCTGACCAGTGTGTGTTTTACTAAATGAGAGAGTCTGGCTCTCAGATACATCTACTTTTTTTGGCAATAGCATCAGGAAGATAATGGCATTACCAAATCAATACTTAAGCTTCATAAATTAATGTCTTGGCTCTGGTTCTGAGTTTATATTCAGGAGGCTATTGCTCCCAGACAGACACACTAAATGGAATAGACATCTTGCTTCCAAGAATAGCAAGCTCCTTTTTCTTAATGAGGAGTGAACTAGAGATTTGATACATTAAAGAAAATTCATTGAGAACATCCATTAACTGTGAATTTTATAATGTTTATTGTGGGCATTCCTCTAGGAAATAATGTGGAAAACCTGGGAGAGGGGAACTGTCTGCCTTGGCATGAATGCTGGTTAGAAGAATGAATCTTTCCACACCCATGTTCGAAGCAGCATTACTCACAATAGCTAAAACGTGGATGAAACCCAAGTGTCCATTGATGGATAAATGGTAAACAAACTGTGGTATACACATAGAATGGAATATTATTGTTTTATAAAGGAAAGAAATTCTGATACAATACAAACATGGATGAAACCCAAGTGTCCATTGATGGATAAATGGTAAACAAACTGTGGTATACACATAGAATGGAATATTATTGTTTTATAAAGGAAAGAAATTCTGATACAATACAAACATGGATGAACCCTGAAGACATTATGCTAAGTGAAATAAGCCAGTTCAAAGGACAAATACTGTATGATTCCACATACGTGAAGTACCTAGAGTAGTGAAGTACATACACAAAAGGTAGAACGGTGGTTTCTGAGGACCGGGGCGGGGGGGGGGGCAATGGGAGTTATTATTTAATGATTACAGAGTTTCGGTTTGGAAAGATAAAAAACTTCTAGAGATGGATGGTGGTAATGCTTGCACAACAATGTGAATGTACTTATAGCTACTGAACTGTACACTTACAATGGTTAAGATGATAACTTTATGTTATGTATATTTTGCCACAATAGGAAAAAATAAATAAAATGAATGAATCTTTCACCCATCAGACAGAAGGCAGACCCTTTAAACAGATCTCAACAATATAGGCTCGAAGGAGTTTTGAAATGTTCAGTAGAATAAAAATAGCTTAACCTCTGATTGAGTTTACTTTGGGACATAAACTCATACTCACAGAGGTTGACAAATTGATTACACCTCAACCAGCCATGCAAAAACCACATAAATTGCAACATGGTGACATAAGATTTACCAGCTAAGCAGTTCTCCTATCTTGTCGGTCACAATACTTTACATAATACTGAGAAATTACTCTTCAAAGATTTGTTTCTGTCATTTTTATACAATAAAAGCAACTTTTATGAGTAGTTATTTTAATAAAGAAATTAACTTGTTTCAACTTAATATTTTCCACAATGTGATTTAAAAATGAGATTGGAATACTAAAGTTCCTTTGAATGAAGTTGGAAAAGGTGTATATTGTCCCTTTCAACAGCCATCCATATACGTAATACTGTTTGCATCCAAAGTATATATTATAAAATGCCTTTATAACTGAAATGTCTGACTAGTAAGTATCATGATTATACTTGAATGTTATTTAGATTCTTCTAGAAGACTTAAATAAGACGTTGTAGCAGGTGGGAAAATCATGTAACATTTCTATTTTTGTTTATATGATTTATTTTATATTCCCTTTCTAAATCATGAACATTTTGAGCCACATAATTATAACTTGTAATGTATAATTAAATTCTGCAACTATAGAAGGAACGTTTGATAATATTGGAGCAGAAATTCCATTATTTAGGAAATGGGTAGTTAGATTTATGAAAAAAATTGAATAAATGTCAGTAAATTTAGCTTTTGTCCAACTCTCCCACTCACCCTTAATCCAATTTAAAGTAAGCCAGAATTTTATAAGATGCAAACTGATTTTTTACAATAGCTTTATTGTAAACATAAACATAAAATTCACCGCTTTTAGTGTATAATTCAGTGAATGTAAGCATATCTACAGAACTGTGCAACATCACCATAGTCTAACATTAGAACATTTCCATCACTATAAAGATAAACCTCACGCCAACTTACAGTTGCATTCCATCCCAACCTGCAGTTTTAAGCAACAACTAATTTCCTTTCTGTTTCCATATATTTGTCTTTTTGGACATTCTATAAAAATGGAACATATGTATTCTTTTATAACTGGCTTCTTTCACTTTTTGAGATTATCCACGTTGTAGCTTTATCCTACTTTATTTTATTTTATTCCTTTATTTGCTTTATTCCTTTTTATTGGCAAATAATATTCCATTCCACCAGTGGATATGGTGCATTTTGTTTAGCCATCAATTGACATTTGGAGTTGTTTCCACTTTTTGGTCATTGTAAATAATGCTGCCATGAACTGAATATAAGTCTGTGTGTGTACATATATGTTCATTGTTTTAGA